CCATTAAATTAATTAGGAATATTAACTTTTATACCAACTATATTTAATAGGATTACTTATCATAAATTATACACAAACAACCTATTTTGATAATGATAAAAAGAGATAGAGAAGAAAACTCTATATAATCCAATCAAAGATAAATGTACATGTCACTTTCAGAGAGAAATTACAAGTTATGTACGTAAAGTTGTCACATTTATGCTCAATGGTAGGTTTTTGATTTCACAAACTTATATAACAAATTATGAATATGCAAATAAAATTAAAGTATAGATATGTATATCGCCGATCGATCCACATGATGGATATATAGTATTATAGTACCCCTTTTGGATTGATGGTGGTTACTATTATAATGGAGCTATCATATGTCGTAATTGACTCTTAATGTTTTGATTAATTAATTTGCTGTTCAACGTTAAAATTTATTAAGAGTGTAATATTCAACTCACAAACAGTATAACGGATTATGGAGATACATAGGTGAAAAAAAGAAAATTGAGAATGTAAATATTGATAAATGAGGAAGCACATGGAGAAAAGTTGAATCCCAAACGAACAAATCGAAGTTTCATGAATGTCTCGCTCCAACGTACATGCATGCATATATATAAGAAAATGTCTATAAATGTATGTGTAAACAAAAACATTTGTAAAAAATTGGTTACGTTGAAATGGTTTAAATTTTCAATATTTTAATATTTACAATTCTTGGATCAGGCAGAAGCATGTTCGATGTTCGATGGGTCAATAATTTAATTGTACAAGTCCCTCTAGACGGTTCTTCACCAAACTAAGGAGGGAGTATTGAAGGGAAAACACATTTTTGGATTAGAACTATTGCTATCGGATCTTTTTGGACCTGATCTTTTAATATTGGCCAATTTAAACCCGAACGTCAAATTAATTCAAATTTGATATCCAAACATATATGAGATTATAAAAGAATTAATTTTAATGTATTGTGGAAGAATTAATAAATTTCCATCAAAATCTCAACAAAAATGGTAGAAATTGGCTCTTCGAAAACAGAACGCACTCAGAGCAGTGTCTAAAGCACTGAGAGAAGCCCGAGAATGGCAGTCTGCGCAGATTGATGCGAAAGGTGAACAAGAACCCCGTCTCTCTACAAACTTAGTTTGTGCCCACAGGGATGATACAGTTGTGATTCACACGGACGGTGCGTGGAAAGAAGAGACGCTACTAGCAGGATTGGGTTGGACTTTTCATAGACAAGTACCTCATAGCTCAAGCTTATCGTGGCTCGATCAAGGGACACAATCCGAACAATACGTAAGCTTACCACTCATGGCGGAAGCATTTGCTATCCGGTTGGCTTTGACACAAGCACAAATCAGAGGGCTCTCCAACATCTGCTTGTACTCGGATTCACAGATTTTAATAGGAGCTATAAACTCTTCCAAACCGATCAAGGAACTCTTTGGGATTTTGCAAGACATTGCATCTTTTATTCTCCTATTTCACTCTATTGAGTTTAGGCATGTTGCTAGATCACAAAACCATGTTACAGATTCTCTTGCGAAAATGGCTATTGGTATAATATCTGATGTATGTCCTTAATTAATGAAGTAATGAAAATCCTCTTGTTGACCAAAAAAAAAAAAGGCTCTTCACATTTTTTTCCTAGAATTCTATTAAATTCCTTTGAAATCTAAAAAAATAAAAACTGCAGAAAATTTGAATAACACATGAATTTAAAAGAATTAAGATTATAATCAATTGAATAACATTGGAATTCTCTTGAAAATCCAATTCCTTCAAAATCAATTAAATTCTTTAATTGAGTACCACCCTAAAATTATCGCATAACACAACACATTAATTGAGAATTAGAGAGAGTGAGAGCAGACAGAGACTGGGCTTAGCGGAATATGCTTCATCGCAGGCCCATAAGCAACTCATGTCAAGTACATTAATTCCCTTTTAATTAACCCTAATGATATTTTCAGAGTAATTAACAACAGTTTTCGATTTAAAGTTTTGTGTTTCCGCCATTACGCAAGAAATCAAAACATGGAGACTGAATTGAACAAGGCCTTGAGTTGGGAGATAGACAACTCGTGCGAAAGGATCAAGTCGGAACCCTTCTCGAGCGGCGGCTGCGACTGGTAAAAAAACTCAAATCTTAATTAGCTTTCTTAGGGCAAGATGTTGTCTATATTCGATTTGTAGGACTAAAAATCTAAATTTTTCTTTTAGGTACGTTGTGGTTTATCCCAAGGGATACTGTGGTTGGGATCACTTGGCTCTGTTCCTGAATGTTGTGCATCCTGAATCAGCGGGAACTGGATGGAAAAGGAGAGCTCGCTTTTGCTTCGTTTTGTTGAATCAATCCGGCAAAGAGCTCTGTAGATCACCTGGTATGATATTAAATGGTTATACGTATAGTATATAATTTATAGATCTATTCAGACTCTTATATATATAATTTACTCTTTTCATTCTTAGGAACCCAAAAAGCGAGGCAAAGTGGCAACAAAGAAGAAGTCGATATGTCCCTCACTGGTTCTAAGAAGCTTCAAGAGGAAAAGATCAACCAAGAAAAATAATTCCAACGATTCACTTGCAATCTCAACATGCTAAAAACAAGGTGGCCTGAGAAGATGTTTCCACTGTAAATCATTTTTGGCTATTGAGAATTTGGGATTTCTATTAAAATTGAAAATTGGATAGCTACATAAAACATATATTTCATATTATACTACTTGATCATGCATCCATTGATTCTAAGAAGCTTTAAAAAAAAGGTGTCGGATAGAAGAATCAACCAAGATAAACAATTGCTGAGCCACAACTGCAGTCTCAAAACACTCAACAAAACATTCAAGGAGGGGATTTAGCTTCTATTTGAAACCAGAATGAAACATGATTTTAGCTTAAAGGAGGCTCATTAACTTTGCTTTGTACGCTAAGCCTCTTTTTCAGAAGGGTTTCTTGCCGCGCATCTTCTCCTTCTTCAGATGGAGTCCACGACAATCTCTTCTCCCCGTCTCCGCTCCTGCTCCCACGGAAGCAGCTCCTCCCACCGGAGAAGGATGGACACACTTTGTGAAAGAAGCAAACGACATAATCCAGTGGGTCCTCTCCAGTGTTTTCTTATTCATTCCGGCAAGCAAACTCATTGAAAATATCCTTGTAAAAGGTTTAAGGGGAGAAGAGTTGGTGTCGGCTACGAATAATGGGATTTTTCCGGAAGTTTTCATTCCCTTAGTCTTCTTGTATGCGGGATTTTACCTAGGTGCGTGGCTTTTTGTCAACGGGAAGACGAAGGGCTTCTTCTAGGTCGTGAGTTTTCTTATAGGTGGAGGTGCTGCTTTGGTCGCTCTCTATGTTGTTGGAAGCAATACGTGGTGGGTAAGTCTTGTAGTGGTGGGCTTTTTTGTGATATTGTTGGGTTGTGCAAAACTACATGAGCGTGGGTGTTGTTGTGAAAGGTGAAGATTTGCAATGTGTTGTTGGAACCAATACGTTGGTGGGTAAGTCTAATAATTGTGTGCTCTTTTGTGATATTGTTGGGTTTTGCAAAACTATTTGTGTTGGGGTTGTTATGTAAGGTGAAGATTTGCAATGTGTTGTTTTTGCTTCATTAAATTGATGGTTGGACTTTGTTTGTTTGTTTCAAACTATATTCGAATGTGTTGTTTTTGCTTCATTAAATTGCTGGATGGAGTTTTGTTTGTTTCAAATCATACTCGAAACAAAAATAATTCTAGTCTCATGTGTATCTCCAAATTTGATATTTTTCTGTGTTTCTATAAGATT